CTTAGCATTAATAATGTCAAAAGCATCTTGAATATTATAGAAAAGAGGGGTATTGTCCTATAAACCAAGAGCCATTTGTGTAATAAAGGTATTTGAAGATAAATTATACTGTATAGGGTGTGGTTTTGAGACATAGTAAAAATATTTATTTGTTTATTTTTGTGTTGAATGCTAATACTTGGGAAGTAAGGAATGGCTGTAGTAGATGTATTTATTTTCAATATACATGTGTTGGCAAAAACTGCAAGAATTCCTATCCACAGTTGTGTGATCTGTAGGAATCATTAACTGTAGTACAGTATCTGTAAGGGTCTGCTTTTCAGTTGTATGACATGGTTGTTCCCACGGTTTCAAAGTAAGTAATCCATCAATTAGGTTAGTGTACAGTGTGTCCAGCCTCTAGATACCTTGCTGTGAGAGTGTTTTCCACTCTCCACATGTAATTTAAAATAGTAAAATAATAATAATAATAATTTTGAGATAGTAAAGAAACTTTTTACAGAGGGAAATTAAAATTTATTAAAAATTGAGCAAGAAGCATTAAAATTACACACAAAACTACTAATATCTTTGTGAATAATTTTTATAGCTAATTTCCTTCTGTAATTCTTCTTAGAATAGATTTACATGAATTATGATTAACTTTAGAAGCATTAACCTTGATTAGATCTGTAGGAAGTAGAAGCAGAAGATTTACCTAAGGGCATACAGTCTTATGTGTCTGAATGTAGCAGATTTCAATGTAGCCTAAAGGATTAAAATGACAGAATTTGCAATTTTAATTTGTACACCCACTAGTAATTCTCAAAAAAATAACTAAAATAAACTATATGAAACTAACTACTAAATAATAGCTATAGTAGCTTCAAGATCATGCAAAAAACAATTAAACAGAGTAAGAAATCACCTTTGTCTCAATACTTTAGGCTCTCTGCCTCCTCCTATACTAGAATCATGCAGAACAAGGTCTGTAGCCTGTTTGGCTGTAATGAAAGAGTTGGAAGACACAAGAAAGAGCTTAGAACACACAATGAAACTACTTGAGTGTTGAGAAAAACTCACCTGTGATTATTTATGAGTGATTAGTAACCTCTACAAGTGTGTCACCAAAAGCAGAGATAGTTCCAGTACTCTTACAAAAGTGGTCAGAAAACTGTACATTGAACTTAAAGAGAAGTAGGACTTACTAGTATTACTAGAATTGAATTGTCTAGACTTAGAGCACACTATAGAACATTATAGTTGTCTAAAGGCTTGTTTAGAGACATACATACAATCCCTTTACTGTTTGAAGAATTCTTCAGCAAGATTAGGTCAGAAACTGAGAGAAAGGGATAATAGGCTGGTACTCACAAGTAAGGAGCTCCTTGCTACAAATTCTAGGGCCAAAACATACAAAACTACTCTTTTACAAGTGTAAGACAAACTTCAAGTAGTATACTCCTGTCTAGAGAGAATGTAACTGTCCTTGGACATGTAATCATCAATTTCAGATGTATTATGCTCAAGCAAAGAAAAGCTATGTACTGAGGTTGTAATAATTTGTAAGTAGTGTGATGTGTATTAGAAATGTCTTCAGCAGGCCCTAGTAAAGATCAAAGAAAACAAAAAATTCAAAAACAAAATGAAACACACCTCAAACCTTGTAGAAAAGGGCTAGTATACCCTAAAAGTTTATACACTTGTGTGCAAACTTGTTAGCTATAAGTGTCTAATGACAAAGATTGGAAAAGTAATACATACCTTTATGTAGCTTTTTTTCTCTCTAGTCTAGTCTTCCTGAGCAAAATCCAGAGGACCTATGTATGAGTAAACAGTCTCTCAGATTGTTGAAGAAGGCAGTATAGTAGCTAATATACAGTTAGGTTATGAAATAAGTGTATCACTAGGTAATTGAACACACAATTTGTATTTAGGATACTGAAATCAAGTGTATATACCTACTTTAATAGCTTGTACAATAGGTTCTGACAGTACTACTTACTAAAATCAAAACTTTAAGGCTCTACACATTAATTTGAAAGCTCTACAATTGTATAGTAATGAAACTTCTTCTGCCCTTGAGTAGAAAGTTTGTCTAGTAGGTGTAAGAATGTCAGCAAATCATCAAGCCAAAATGCAAAAAAACAGAGACTTAACAGTAATAAAAGAAGTGCTTACTGTATATTAAGATTCTCTACTTACTAAGAATGGAGACATCCTGAAGGAATGTCTTAACAAAAAATGTTTTGTATTGAAACTAGTTGGTACACATGAGGACTATACAGAAGACTAGAAAGCAAAACATTGTCAGCTTAGCAAGTGGAAAAAAGAAAGAGTAGGACTTGCCTTAGGAGAAAGAACATTTTATAACTTACCTAAGGAAGAACACAAAGACATTCTTACTAAAGCCTTGAAGGAAAAAATTGAGGAGCTCAGTAGAGAGAAGGTCTGAGAGACTCTTACAGAGAAGAAGAAAGAGGAGCACAAAATCAAGTGTAAGAATACAATTTTGTATGAGCTAGGTAGTGAGACATACCTAAATCTTCTAAAGGAGGATAGTGTAACTTACAATCTCTGAGTTTGTACAGGATACAGTATGTATAAAGATTTGAACACATTAAAAGGGGGATCTACAGGCTTGAAGAAAATGTAGGAGATGATGAGATTTGCACCTGTTCAGCTTATGAATAAAGAAAACAATGTGGCTCACCAATTGGCAGATAGTAATGTAGAAGATCCAGTAGTGAATCAAACAGTCAAGGTATCAACTGGTAGTATAGTAAAACTTATCTCTCTGATAGGTACACTATTAAATTACAAAGATAATAAAAAGGGACAGTATGATACCTTCCAGAGCTATGTATTACAGAAGGAGAACTGTATTTTTACATTCCCTGATACTTCAAATATGTAATATTTGTTGAATCTTAAGGTAGTAGTAGAGGTTATCTCTCAACTTGATTTCTATGTTAACTATATACACTTTATTTGTGATTTGAAAGAAAAACCTAGCCTTAATCATCTCAAGTTGAATATTCTAAAGGGATTAAATGACTTACCTACATGTACTAAGCTAGCTGTATTTGCCTTATACCTGGAAAGCATGTTGTATCCATACATTCAGGAGCTTTGTAAGTCTGGATTAGAGAATATGAATGTGATAGAATACAGTCTGCTTCTTACAAAACTGAAGTCTCACATCAAAAAACTTATTAACTTACCTGGGCTAATCCTGAACTTGGACTCAAATCCTCTAGAGGCAATATTTCTTACAGACAAGGCTAAGCAACAGTAACACAACATTAAAATCATCTCAGGTTATAAGCTCCTTAATAGACTAGTGAATGTTAACACACTGTCATCTGTTGAGTGGAAGAGGCCAGACACAATAAAGACAGTATAGGTAATGGCAGAGCATCTCCCCCATCTTTGTGATGCTTTTGTAGCATTCTTGGAGGCATCTCTAACAACTTGGGAGAGATTTAGTAAGGAATATAGTGAAAACAGAGAGATCAGTCAGCTCACTAAAGAAGAAAAAGCAAAGCCTGGATGCTAGCAACTAACAATGCAAATGAAGGGGCTCTAGGAGTGTACAGAATATCTGCCAGAAATCATCCATCAATGAACACTAAGACTTTCAATGTAAAGGCAAAATACTTACAGAATGACACTGAGGACTTTATTAAAGCTAAGCTTGCTAGAGACAAAGAACAAGCTTATCTTTGCCAGGTTGCACAGGATAGACTTCTTGGGAAACAAGATAAAAAACAAAGAGTCGACATTTCTGAGCAGTATGAAGCAGAAGTTACAGCAAAGCAGTAGAGGATCCAGGAGTAGAAGGACAAGTAAAGTAGACAGTCAGAGTATCTTGAAGAATTAACACTCAAATTGGATGAAGATCGAGTGTGACAGCTCAAGGTGCCTCAGCTAAAGGAACAACTTGACAAATTACAAAGGTTCGACAGAGATATTCCAAAGGAGAAAGACATAGGGAGAAAGGACAAGAGGCTTAAGGTATTACTAGATACACTTGGTAGATACAAGAATTGTAATGTATAAATTAACTCACTCGTTCAATATAACAAAAAACAAACTACATATTCATATTTGCACAAGAAAACAGCTATATAATATCAATTTTAAATCTTCAAATCCTCTCTATTTAATTAATTATGAGTGTAGTAAGATATGTATGCAACACACTATATATATGCACTTGAATCTGTCTGTTTTCACACAAATTTGATATTTTTTTTTCAAAAAAGGCATACATAATAGTAAATAGTATCTAAACTAGTGAAATATACAAAATTTTAGTCTAGATTTGCTCCGTTGTATTTTCTACATTAAATACAAGGAGGGCAGACACTCTGTTCACCACATTTCGACTGAAAAAGGGAAATTTTCAAAGTCCGCTCGACCGCGTCTCATAACCAAAAAGCGGACCCCCAGTATCCGCAAGAGTCCCTAGTCTGATTTAGCATTTATTTCCGCGTTGGCGTCACGTGTGTTTACTTGCAATGAATTATCTATCAGGAGATTCACTTCCGTGGGTGTAAACAAATACTTTATTTTGTTTTTCCTTGAGGAACTAGAGAGCTTGGGGTGTATCCATCATTACCATAACAAAAGTCGTCAAATCTTCAGATATATTTCAAACTGATGCAGAACCGTAATTAGTTGCTTTGAAAGTGAAATAATTCAGGTTCCACCTCATGCCCGAAAAGTAACCGATGCGCCTTTCAATAGTCTAGAAGTTAGTCCTTTTCCTAAAAGCTATATATAAACACCATACCCGGTGAACCAGCTCCTACACATTCCCACAATAAGGCATATTCACCCTGTATTCTCATACGCTTCAGTTTCTCTCTAGGACATGCCTGTCTCGATGATGGTCAGAAGGCAAGTCAAGTAGCTGTACAGTTCCAACTGCCCTATATAGCCAAATCACGTAAGCACTCCCACGCCCTTGCCCTCCCATAGTGACTGCGTTGAACGCGACGTCGAAGTAGACCGCCCGACAACGTGCCGAGCCGCCTTCCCTTTCTCCTCCAAAAAATAACTTTTATTCCTCTCTGTATATCTTACGATGGACCCGGCAAAGCTCGCAAAGCTCCAGGCGCAATCGAGTAACCGGATCGGTACGTCATGGTGTTTTTTTTCTTACATTATTCGCATATCCTCCTCGTGTTTGACTCACCTACTGATATGTGGTGTCTGTGCGTGCAACAGGTGGAAAGGGCACTGTACGACGTAAAGTCGTGAAGAAGGCGAAGACGTCAACCGCGCATGATGACAAGAAATTACAGGGCGCGTTGAAGAAGCTGAACGTACAGCCTATTCCTGGTGTTGAGGAGGTCAACATGTTCAGAGAGGATGGAAACGTATTGCATTTCACTGCTCCGAAAGGTGCGACCGATTGCTATCTCCATACCTTCAATCGTTTAACGGCCATGCATTTGTGCTCTAGTACACGCGTCTGTCCCTGCCAACACGTTCGCGATCTATGGTGCGGGCAACGTGAAGGAGCTCACCGAACTCGTTCCGGGCATCCTCAACCAGCTCGGACCAGACTCGCTCGCTTCACTGCGCAAACTTGCAGAGTCCTACCAGGCTATTCAGGGTCAGAACCGCACAGCCGCCGGCGGTGGAGCCGCAGAAGGAGGGGAAGACGACGACGACGTGCCCGATCTCGTCGAGAACTTTGACGTCGAGGACCAGCCATCGAAAGGCGGTGAGCTCGAAGATCTCAACTGAGTATCTTCCTCTTGCGCTCTCTCCCTCGCCCCCTATGTGTCGACGTGTGGAATCCTATGTTTCCGTGTATCAAAATAAACCGGCAGGGGTAGGAATCGGGGACTTGTTATTGTGGCATATTGGTGGAACAGTTGTGGTACGATTTGGGGTGGTTGTCCTACTCCCTTTCTCTTGTGCTGACGATACGATTGAAACTACTGGTGACGAATCTTTACCTATCATTAAACCCCCATGTCTATGTCGTTTCATTTCATTTCACTTCAACGCCATGAAAACACCTCCATCGTCTCCTTTCTATCCAATCGTGTGCTCGCTGTCTACATCCCTTCACTGTCTACCTACACCCCATGCAAATGTCATGTGTCAAAGTGCCCGTATTTCCTCCCCTCTCTGTGTTTCTGTCTCTGTTTTGTTCTGTCTTTTTAATGACTCAGTTGTTCACTCTGCTCTCGCATCCCGCAATATATCACGACTTCTGCAGTAGTCATTGTAAGCAAAAGGGCGTCGATTGCGATTGTCCTCCATTATTGTTTGTCCTGGCTGGATATAGTCAATTACAACTGGCAAGATAGACTGTACGCATCAAGGCTCAAGCATGCCTATGAACACATAAGCACGTAGTGTGGTGCTATCTACTATGCTGGTACAGTAATATATATCATAACACGTAATGTCTAGAGAAGGCCAAATTCAATGCATTATGTATTTTATGCATTACCAGCAGATACAATTAAAGCAGGGAATCTCAATTTGTTACAGAAAATCCCAATACATCACGGCAAAGATGCATTATTAACTCATATATCATGAGATATCATACTTTAACAAAGTAACGCTTCAAATGCACATCCTGCAATAACTCCCAAGAATAAATTTAATAAATAAAAACTACGATCTACTGCCCCAGAGAGGCTCGAACTCTCGACCTTGTGATTGTCATAGTTGTCACAAATAACAGTCACACGCTCTAGCCAACTGAGCCATGGGGCACATATCCTTCTATAGGTATAGGAGAAATATCATATCTAACACTGTCATGCAATATAATGGCAACCTTTAACCTTCTCCTACAAATAGTACAATTCTTTCATGTCGGCTCCTACAACTCTAAAGGCCAAGATATGTTCCTCCAGAAGTCCAAGAATCTGTACTCATTGCCTGATAAAATGTACCTACTTAATCTATATCTGTATCACAAAAAAGTCTTAAGTATTATACTTGCTTGTAATCTTGTATATTTTGTATATTTTATAAAATTTGTCCAATTACTTATAATCTTCCTGGGGGGTTAAGTAATGACAGTACAATGTTAGATAAGTAAGTAAGAATACTTTTAAAACTTGGCAATTTCTATTATAATTTTATAAATTGTCAAGTTATAAAAGTGATTATAACACTTTCTAAGATTACAAGACTAAGACATACTTATTTATTTGAGAAAGTATAATATCTGCTTATAATGCTTATAAGTCATTACAAGCATTTGAATGGTTTGCTTTTGCTTAGTATACAATTTTGTATCAAATAATTAATCAAATATAATTATATTTAAATTATAGAATACAAAAATAGTAATTAATACATTATTTCTACAATCCCAACCCCTGCACCACTAGCTGCCTCTGCCTCATTCTTTCGCGAGCGGAATTTGCATCGGTAAAGGATTAACACGTTCGAAGTAATCTTCGTCACCACGTCTTGGTCGTCACTGAGTCCCTGCAAGTTGAATTGCGTACGCGTGTGAGTTGTGAGGTTGAAGAGGTTGAGCTACACCTGTGAGACAGGTTTAGAGTGATTAGCAAGTGACAATAAGAAAGAAA